TTTGAATTCAATAATTACAAAGAGTACATATGAACTAGCTCCCAATCAAGCAAGTTTTATTATATCTATGTAATTTTTGATCAATTATACCACATATATATATATTATTAATATCTTTTTGTTTTATTCAACAGTCATACGATATACAAGTATCAAGAAATATAAAACAACTTATGACAAATAGCTGGAAAAACTATTTGGGATTTACACCAGATCTTGAAACAATACCTTATTGTACTTCCATTATCGGTATTACTTCATAATAATGTTTTTTTTTTAAAAAAAAAAATGTAAAAAAATAATATGATATCTTTTTTCTAGCATCTAATGTAATTACGAATAATACGGATCCTAATTCATTATATTCCATTATAAATATTGAGCCATACTCATTTATTGTCGAAGTTGATACAGATCAAAAGTATGTTTATTAATTTATTAATTACAGTATTAATATTTATTGATTATTTTATTAAATTTTTATTTTTTTTATTTTTATTAATTTTAAAGATCTAAAACCGTAAGTGTTCGTATTCTTTTTTTAAGATTGTAAGATCAATGACTTAAAATTAATTTTGATCTGTAGGCGTTAAACTTATTTGGATTATTTGGTGGCGTATTTGGGATACTTACAAGTTTATATGCATTTCTATTTGGTAAATTTTTTATTAGCATTTACTTTTTTTTTGCATAAATAATCATCTTAAATAATTTAAATTTCTTATTCGATTTCAGGTGTAAAGGCTATCCAACCATGGGGTTTAGTTCAGAGAACTGTTTTTAAAGTTAATAAAACTGCACGAAGTCAATTGTTAACTACTTTAGAATCAATGCAATTTCTTGATCACCTAAACAATGATAAGGATAATTTAGAAGATCAAGTGTCAACTAAAAAGTTAAAAAAAAGATTAGATACATTACAATTATTTTTAAGAGATTATGTAGTAAACGCGCAATACTTGGAACAAATTAATGAAAATATTAATCGTAACAAAAATAGTTAATTTTTTGTTAGTTATAATTATTATAGCAATAGCAGATAATTTATTATAATTATTTTAAAAGACAAATATTCTTAATCTAGTATTATAATTAATCAATAAAATATACAAGTTTACTAAAATGCACCTTAGGGAGGTCTGGCTGTATTGGTATAAATTTTTATTATTAGTCTTTAATAAACCTTTAAAAACTGTAAAATCTACATACACTCTTTAATTATCAATTCTAACCTAAACCCTAACTCGACCTAACTTTCATATTTCATATACGCAATATAATATAAATTAACTTTACGTAGCCAATTCGATCAGTAGGCTGTTAACGCAGTTCATTCAGTTAAAAATTGTCTATTTTTGAATAATTGCATCGGATTACACGTCTGACATCAGGCTCGAAAGGTATTCGATTCTTGAATTTCAATATATTTTGTTGACTAATTGACACGATTATTTGATAATTTGTTTGACGTAATAAGTGAATAAGTGTAAATTATATCTTTCCAATGAATATCTATTTCATAGGTGAAACAAATCTTATCGGTCATGATCTGCCTCATATGACAACTGAAGAAACTTTGGTGGTTACGCACTTCATCCTTCGATTGACTCGAATTGAGGCACAAAGAAAAACTTTCAATTATATTTTGTATACAGTTAACCGTCTATGGAAAATCTATAATGGCAGCTAACTGTACACAAAATATAGTTGAAAGTATTTTTCCCCTGGCAGCGCCCATATATGTATAAAGAAAGTTTTCTTTCTTTATTGTACAAGTACTTTATGCCTTAAATATAACAAAAATTTCAAATTATAAATTTTGAAGGTTGATATTTTTATTTATAAAATCTATCGAACATAAAAAAGTAATGAGTTGTTAACGCCAAATGAGAATGTTTTTAGTATAAAAAAATCTCACAGTGTTTAGAATGAAATTTGAAGTTACTACAAGTAGTTATTAGTAACAGTAAGGAACCACTTACGTACGTACATATCTCGGTGGTGCTTTTAATAATTTTTCACCATACGTACAAATAAAATTTGTCAATTTGCTCCAAATACCAGTATTCAAAAAAACAATTATATCGTGTCATCTAAACATTTAGTGCACTGTTTTGCTCTTAATGTTTCAGATTTTTATCTACGTATTTGTTTTTGTGCTATACTACTGATCTAACGCATGTATGTACATAATAGTAAAATAAGGGTCAGAAAAAAAATAAACCAAATTCATGTGTAACTTTTTATAGACCCCGCATTTTTTACACAAATATATATATATTAATATGTATCTGGGTATATATCAATTCGGCATATATATTTTATTAAACAATTTTATTACAATTTCTTAAATTTAATTAAAATGATTTTGGGAGAAGCTTACCAGAGATATCGCAAGAGCGAGCCCTTATCAGTTCATATTATGAGGATTATAACTATGCTAATTTTATTAATCTGCATATTAATATACTTCATTAATTTGATTCTTAACATTATTAATGATAAACCCGTTATTAGTACTTCTTATATTCAAGAAGATATTCCAATGCCGGGTAAAAAAAAAAAAAAAACATCTTTGTCATTTGTTCCTATGCTAATTTTTTTATATATTTTTTTCAAGAAAAATAATAAAATTTCTTTAATAGATATCAAATTTTATTCTGAAAATTTGTTTATGATGTCTTGTGGCTTTGAATCTTCCGGTATAAATAAGAATTCAAATTTTTTAAGACTAAAGAACAAAAATTGATATATATATGAGTATACTTCATAGAAATCTTACTGTATTTTTACAAATCCTCATTTTATAAAACATTTAAACGTATCCAAGCCATTGGTTCAAGTAATGATCCTAATTGCAGCTCACATATCACAGAAACATTAATTAAATATGGACCATACTACTACACAAATTTCTCAATCCCGTTGGCATATGGATATAGATTTAATTTAGAATTAGATTTCTTAATTCAATTTCGAGTACAATTTTTTGATCAAAGTATTAATCCAAGTCTATTTGTTGAAGTTTCTGATCCAGGTATATTTTATGAAAAATGATTTTTTTATCTTTTTATAAACACTAAGCTTCTATTATAACATATAGCAACTGTTTACTCGATGGATAATACGTCTTCAACATTTTTACAATCAATTGCAATGACTAACACTCATCAATTATCATCTATTTATGTACGCATTTAATTAATATTAAAGCATTTTTATTATTATTATTATTATTTCAACTAATATTAAACTTTTGTAATATATTTCATAAAAGGCTACTAAAATCTATTTGGGTCGAAACATCAGGAAATTTCTAATACCAAGTTGGAAAGCCACTATGGGACTTACTCCAGATTATGAAACAGTAACTTACTTAACTTCAAGAAAAAGTAATTTCATTAATAACTCTAGATTTTTTTATAATACGTATATTTTTATATATAGTTGTGTTAATATTAATCATTTAAATGCATTCTAGCTACATATCAATATCAAACTGCTGCGCAAGTTGCAAATGGTGCAGGCATGTATATTGCTGTTCAACCAGACTATGATATAACTTTTATTGAAACTGAAGAAAGGTAAACTTTTTATTAAATAATTAATTTGAATTCGTTTTTATTACTGTCTCATCAACTTGAAATAATTCTAAAGGACGCATACAGTGAGTATTCAATAGCAATTAAATTTTTATGAATGTAAATTAATTCGTAATTTCATATAGATTTTAAGTTCTCTTGGATTACTTGGTGGTGCATGGTCAATTGCTATAGTTGCTTATAAATTACTTTTCGGTAAGTTTTGTTATATTAAATGGTTGGTAGACATTGACATAATATAATATTCATAGAATGACATAATATTCGTAGAAATTGTCAACTTACCGACTATAATTATTGCAAATGTCATCTCTCAAATCATTATATTAAGATCAAAGAATATTAAATAATATTCTATGATCCTTATGTGCATTACCAGAAACTTTGTTTCTACTATCCAACGGTTCAGGATATTATTTATTACTAACTTAAATTTTATATTTATTTTTTTAAAAAATAGGCGATGACGTAATGCAGCCTTTTGGAGTAGTTCAAAAACATGGCCATTTTCACGAATTAAATCAAAAAAAATTAACAGAACATTTATCTACAATTCCTTTAGCTCAAGTTTCATCTAATAATGATGATAATTATGATAATGAAAATCAAGTTGTACAATTAGAGAAAGAAATTGGTGATTTAGAATTATTTTTAAGAGATTATGTGGTTGAAGCACAACAATTAGATAATGTTTATAAAAATATTGAAACTTATAAAAATAAATAAAAATAATTTAATTGATATGATAATCGTTAATACTTAAGCTTTTTTACTATATAAAATTTGATATGTACACTCCCCTGACATGAGTCACCTTTTTGGTAACGATATGACAATTTTTTTTTTTGCAGATTTTTGATTTGCGAATTCTCAACAAACTATATATTAATTCGGGTCATAATTTTTTTACTTAACAACTACATATATAAATTTTATTTGCATAATTTAGTACCATGTATGGTACCCATTAGCAGCAATTACAGCAAGAATACATCGATGCATACTTTCAATAAGATGTTTTAAAATTGAAACATTGATTTTAAACCACTCTTTCTGGAGAAAATTGAAGAGTTCTGACTCATTGCTTAGTAGAGAAATATGCTTACACATATGATGTTTCAATTCATCTCATAAATGTTTAATTGGGTTAAGATCCAGGCTATATAAGGGCCACAGAACTTGCACAATATTATTTTCATTAAACCAATGTTCAGTAAATTTGGAAGTGTAAATTTTAGCATTATCATCTTAGAACATATAATTTTTTTACTAACCACATTTATAAATTGTTTAGATAGAGCACACAACAAGTTAAAAATTTTTACATAATCTTTTGAATTCATCTTGCTATGAATCTGAACCAAAGGTTCAAGACCATATATGCTAAAATACCTCAAACTATTATACCTAGTCTTCCTTATTTAAATATTAAAACTAAACATTCTACATCATATTTTTTTCCAAGTATACTTATAACCATCCTCTCCAATTATCTCAAACCTCAATTTATTATTCTAAACAATGTTTTTTCATCTTTCATTCCAATTTATTTTTGCCCTTACCCAATTCAAACAAGTCACATGAGAAGCCTTATCTACAAATAGTTTTTTAACCAACATAACATTATAAAGGTACTGTTATATGGTTTATGTAAATACTTCTACAGAGGTTGTTTCAATGAATTTGTTTGTCAAAACATTTAGCATCACCTTTCTGTCCTTTTTAAAATGTAAATTAGGTATTAAATACTATGTTCAGTTACTTTAGAAAGTTATCCAAGACAAGAAAAAAGTACAGTTTCCTAGTCTTTAAATAAAAATTGATAATTTTATTAATTATTATATAAAAAAATTTATACAAATTGAGCAATTGCATAAATATTTCCTTATAAAATTCAAAACCAAGTATTACTAATATGTAGATTATATTATAAGTTTAGTTTTTATGAAAATTTATACTACTAATTGTTATAGTATTTTTGAGCAAGTTAGTCTTGCCTTTTACAACATATACTCCTCTGATATAAATTACTAGATTTTTCAAATTTGGTGAAGATTATTAATATGACTTCATTGTTTATAATTTTTTTTGAAAATTACTATACTAGTCTCAAAAAAATTGTTTTATAGTTTTATTTAAATTTACTAGTATATTATTTTTTAATCAATTTTTTTTTATTATGAAACAAAGAAAACAACTTACTAGCAAACAATGCAATCAAATTATTAGTGCTTAGAAAAATAGTATAAAGCAAATAAGAATCACAACAACACTAAAATTTCTCAAAAGCATTATCAATAATGTTATTATATACTATTTAATTAATTACTTTTTTTATATAAAATTTTTAAATCAAATGCTTTTCATATATGACAAAAGTATACAAAACAATTTAAAACAAAAACTTTAAACTTTGCTTTTAAATATTAAATTAAATATGGTTAGCAATATTAAATAATTAAACAAATAGAGGAAGAATTTGATATTTAGAGTCTAATTTACTATAAGCTTGAAATAGCAATAATCTAGTTTTATAATATTATTACATAGATTTTTTTAATCAAACAAATATATATATATTTTTAATAAGCTTGTTAAGTATTTTATTTTTTAAATAATATCCAAAGTATATTAATTTATATTTATTATTATATATTTTTTTAGTAGTGTATAAAAAAAAATAAAAATATATTTGCTAAAAATCTCTAAGTCTCAAAATAATACTCAACTATAGTTAGCACTAGAAATAATTACAAACTATATTCAAATATCTTATTATTATATAAAAAAGTATAGCTATTAGCATATTATAAAATCTGATTAAAATTGCAAAAACTAGCTAGTTGTAATATAATAGTAGATTTAAAATATATACTCAAAATTGTAGTAGCTATATAGCTTAAAATATAAACTTTTAAAAAGTAAACTAGTAAAATTTATATTAGATATACTAAACTAAAAAACAAAAATATCTATTTAACAATATATATTACATAAAAAAATTATCTCTAATTTCTAACTTCTAAAAATTCTTAAAACTAGTAATAATCTCTACTAGTGATAAGTAGTAATTTTCTATTAAATAATATAAATAAAGTAATAAATATATAAATACTAATTAGTAGTTTGTAAGAATATATAAAAACCCTAGTACTTCTGTTCTAATTATGATTTTTTAAACCAAACCATTAACTCCTCTATACATGACACTATTTTCAACACAAATCTTAACCTTTTTTCCTATCAATTAAATATGCTTTTACATACTATCTCTTTGCACCCTGCTTTTAACCTTCTATCATCTCAACTATATCCTTTTTTACTTAACTTCACACTTAAAGGTCTTATACCAGTATCTCTAATCCAATCTCTAAACCCATTTGAAATCTCATACTTTAACTCCTCCCAACTTATTATCCGGCTACTTCTCAAAATTTCTGATCAACTCTACAACAATATCTGGATCTCATACTGTATTAATTTCTCTAACTAGAAAAAATCCCATCAAATCTCTTCCTACCCTAACTTTAATCATTCACCTCAATCTTCTTTACGGCCAACCAATAGAAGAAACAAAATTCACTATACTTATAGCTGTCCTTGTGGCTCTGCGGACCAATTATACTCAGAACTTAATACTTGCCCTTCTCTAGGACAAGCTACTCTTAAAATTAATATTTGGTCTACTATGTGGATCAAATATAGCACTTCTATTAATCATATC